TCAGTATCTGCTAAATCTAATTCTTTTCTATAGGCTCCAATACTTATACCATAGATTACACTGGATAAAGCTCTAATTAATACTAGTAAGAAATGATCCTGAATTTGCCTCCAGGAAAGGCACCTAATGAGTCTTCTCACTGACTTACAGTCTCCCTGCAATTCCAGCTAGCAGAAGGGGACATATCAGCTTGTTTTCTAGCATGGAAAGCATATATCTGCCTGAATTATTTTATCTGAAGAACATTTGGCCATGAAAGCATCCAGGCAGGAATTTTGGTAACAATTATTACACAGCTCTCAAAACATCTTATGAAGGAAAATAATTTTGTGCAAGATGTAGGCCCTTGTACCGCAGAGGAAGCTACTACTGGCAGTCACCAGTCATTCTCCTTGCTGTGTCTGGGCTTACCTCAATTAGAAAGTCTCCTGTGCGAAGTCCTGCTCTCCAAGCAACGCCTTCCACATCCACTGATTCCAGATACTGCAGTGCAGGGAAGGCTGGGGTTGGGGTGAACTCCTCAATTGGGGTTTCAGCTGCAAAAGGCAGAGAAAGAGAGAGAGAGTGAGACAGTCTACCTAAAACCAAGTAGGGGGTGGACAACAGTGTCCAGGAGCCTACAAAAAACTCTGTAAATTGGATCAGGAAAAAACATGCACACAAGGCTCAGCTTGACTTCAGTGCAGGAACCAGAGCTCGTGCTATATGTATAGTGTTCATCACCTCAGACCCTGAAACGGCCCCAGACCCATGCTCATCTACCCCAGAGCTTCCCAAAAGTCACGTATGTTCCCTAAAGGTCCTTAGAGCCTCACTCATCTCCCAGTCCCTCAGACAAAATTATAATAATATCTATAAATAATGCCAGGAGTGGTGGAACTCATCTATTCTGACTTGTGACTACAGAAGAGTTGTCTGTATCTGAGTCAGGATCTCTAGGCCCCTTTCATAATCAACAGAGAGAAACAGCTGCTAAACACAAAAATCACAGAATAGTTGGGGTTGGCAGGGACCTCTGGACAGCATCTGGTCCAACCCCCCTGCTCAAACAGGGTCATCTACAGCACGTTGCCCAGCACTACGTGCAGTCATGTTTTGAACATCTTCAAGGATGGAGAGTCCACAACCTCTCTGGGCAATCTGTTCCAGTGCTGAGCCACCCTCACAGTGAAGAACAGTTTTCTTATGTTCAGCTGGAACTTCCTGTGTTTCATTGCTTCTTGTCCACCTGTGCTATTTTAGAAACCTGCTTTTGGTACCCTAGAGTGGTGCCTCTCTCACTATTGGTCCTATATGATTAGCTCAGGGACAGACAGCCTCCTATTGATGGATGTCCACGTTAGTCATATGAATTCCATTCTTTATCACTTAGGTTTTAAATGCATTCCTGGCTGGAAAATCTGCTCCTGCCCCCAGTCTTTCCAGGGAAGGAAGTTTTTCAGAGAGACTCAGGCAGTGCACATATATTATCCAGTCCCATCCCATCTTCCTTCACTGCCCATCCAGGATGAAGTAAGATGCTCCAGTCCCTTCATCATCTCAGTAGCCCTCCACTGGACTCGCTCCAGGAGCTCCATGTCTCTCCTGCACTGGGGAGGGAGCCCAGAACTGGACCCAGCCGTGCCACTGAGGCCTCCCCAGGGCTGAGGAGAGGGGCAGGGTCCCCTCCCTCGACCTGCTGGCAATGCTCTTCCCAATGCAGCCCAGGATGCCATTGGCCTTCTTGGCCACAAGGGCACGTCGCTGGCTCGTGGTCGACTTGTTGCCCGCCAGGACTCCCAGGCCCCTCTCCGCAGAGCTGCTCTCCAGCAGGCCAGCCCCCAGCCTGTCCTGGGGCCTGGGGTTATTGCTTCCTAGGGGCAGGACCCTGCACTCGCCTGTGCTTAACTTCACGAGGTTCCCCTCTGCCCATCTCTCCAGCCTGTCCAGGTCGCTCCAGTTTCGTATAATAAGCAGCCTCCCTGAGGAGGCACTCTGCCTCTTCATCCAAGTCTTTGATGACTAAGTTGAACAGTATTGGAGCCAGTATTGACCCCTTGGGTATACCACTAGCTACAGGCTTCCAACTAGACTTTGTGCTACTGATCACAACCCTGCAGGAGAGTGTCTCAGTTCACTGCTCCACACAAGCAGTAAGTTTAGATCTAGTAATTTTGACTGGAGCACAGGCAGATTCCTAGAATGTACTGCATTTGACACGGTCAGCAATAGTTTGCATTACCTTCTCGGAAGGGCTGGTAATACAGGAGTTTGAAAAGGGGCTTGCATCAGACTCTCTGAATGTCAAGTAAATAGTTCATATCATGATAATGAGACATATGGTCTCTGGAATATCAGCAATGTACTTCACAAGATGGAAGCATCAACATGACAGACCAGTACTGCCTTCTTATAATACATGCATCATAATTAAGTCGTGAAAAGGTTAAGTGCCAAGTCCTGCTCCCTGGGAAGGACAGAATTGGACAGATGACAATTTAATTGGTTTCCTAGGCAGAAGAAGGAGCCTGATGTGAGACAATAATGTCTCACAAAAGCTCTAGATACGCCAGCCCCCAAAAGATTATAGTGTTCCAGTTGTATTCTCACAAATGTCCAGCACGATTCAGAAGGGCTGATACTGTGTTTCACTAGGTTGATTAAGAGGAAGGAAAAGCACGTGCACATTGGCAAGGGAATGTGGAACGGCTTTTAGCACTCAACTTTCTTTGGTTTGTTCTTTTGCCCCACAAGATTAAACACAGTAAAAGACCAGGACGAAAACCAGCACTGAGGGGAGCAAGGTCAGGCAGCATGTCGTGGAGCTTACCAACAGCCCACTGACGTCAGAGAACTCCTAAATTATAGCTTAGAGGAGTCTCTTGAGGTACAGTTCCAAGTCTATGTTTTTCTTATTGATAATCAAAAATGTAGACTGATAGGGAATACAGATAAAATTAATCCAGCAAAAATAGTCTTGCAGCCAGTTTTATCACCTGTATTATTTATGTGTTATATGAGGAATCTGCACATCATTTTCTGTGGGCTAGAAGCTATATATCTGCAGTTACAGTTACAGGTAACAAGAAAGAAGCTTTAATAAGGGACAAGTAACAAGAATTAAACCATCCCATCTCCACTTAGAGAATGAGAAGGTCTGCAAGAGTAACTGTTCCAGGTGTCTCCAGCAGCAACATCAGGCAGTAGATGGAGAGGAACTGTAAGCTCCAGGAGCAGGTACAGACCAACATTGGATTTCCCAGCTGCCTCAATTAACTCGGCCACTAAAGCAACAAAGGAGAAACCAACTGTTTAACGGACTCTCAAACTGTGTTTTCTTGCTTCATACTTCTCCTTTACAGCTGCTTTTAGTTATTCAATCAAATATATCAGTGCTGTGCTTGTACCTAGTCAGTGCAGAGTCTGCTCTATACTTTTCTGGAAATGATTTGCTATAGCTGTACCTGTGGAGATAATTTTCCTGCAGCACACAGTAATTAAAAGTTCTTGGGTAAGCATCAGAAAAATTGTAAAACCAGCTTACCACCCAAAAACCCAGCACTGTCATACTTGTCACACTGATAGGTACCAGGCACATTGTTTTCTCAAAAAACCAGAACTAAATAAAAAGTACATTGCTAGCAACCCCATGGAACATCTACAAACCAAGTCAAGTTTAGGGAAGCTTGGTGGCCGGTATTTTTTCTTCCAAACCACAAGAGTTAGCTAAGAGGGAAAGAATACCTCCAGAGGATACTGGTCTGGCAAAGGGCAAATGGTGAACAAATGAACAGAAAATCCATTACTATGGAAGAAACCTAGATTGTCACAGCTCTGCCCTAGGGCAGTCTGTCCCACTCAAGAGCCTGATGACAGGAAAATCTGTGCTCCACTGGGGCTGTGGGAGATGGAGCCCCTGCTGCTCCAAATACTGCCCTAAGGACTGGAATACACAAACATCCAAGCAATAGGTGCATGCAGTACACTTTTAAAAACACTCTGGAGTCACTACCAGCCATGATTAAGTGACGAGAGTGCCAATGGTTTAGAGTAAAATCTCAGGAGCATTCTCTGCCTGATCTATCCTAAATGCTGCTGCCAGATGTCAGTGTTGTCAGGGCTGGGATAGGCACCAGCACAGTATCGAGAGGCTCAGTCCATCTGTATGGGTGTTCTGCCTTCCCCCATCCGACGGACCAAGGAGCAGGTTTGACATGTGTGGTATGGTCAGAACAACATGACTGGTTTATTGTCCTGTTTGGGCTGTGGTGACCAAGCACATGGGTGCTCAGCAACTGTCCCTGCCCAAAACAGCCCCAATCACATGATTTACCCACCTTATCCTTTTTCCCATTTCCTGACTCTCCTTTTCACTTTGCCCAGTTTCCTCCCAAAGGTACAATCTGCCTACAGCTACTTTTTCCCCATTTGCCCCAGTTTTGCTACATCTGTATCCAAATTTGGCATTTCCAATACCATTTCCTTGGTAACCGTGGCCTAATCTGGTATTACTGACATGGTTACCTACTCTGCTCTCCAAAAGGTCTCCAGTGTTCCCTTTCAGTTATCTGAGGAGAATGGCCATTTCTCACATCACTCCCTCTTAACCACTTATGAAATCCAGTTATACCTCACAGTGCTATCTGTAACTTTGTCACTTTTTACATTGTCATCTGTCATGTCCAGCAACTTCTCATGTCATGTCTGGCAGTTCTCCAGCTCCTGTTCAATTAGCCTAACCTCAGGTCAGGGCCTAGTCAGCAGCCTAGTCATTTGCCTATAGCCCTAACACCAACAAGAAATATTAACCAGAACAATGCACCATGTGAACAGTTGACTGTAGACTCGGTGAGGAAGTATGCAGACTGTCATGTGTACTCCTTAGGAAACCTGACCGCTGATGTCTTATGAAGGTCCAAGTGAAGCCTTAGGGTGCAAATCCAGTCATTACGAAAGTCAGCTTGGAACTAGACCCTCCAAAAGACCCTTTTCAGATTAAAGTCTGACAGAAAAGCTTTAGGTCAGAAGTATGTAATATGGCAACAATTTATCTGTAAGTACCTACACAGGAAGAAAATATAATTTAAGGAGGCTCTTTTATCCAATTGACAAAGGCAAAACTAAATCATAAAGGTCTGGAATTAAATTATAGAAATTCATACTGGTAATAAGGTGAAATTTCCTAACAAGGAGGACCACTGTTCATTGCAAAAGCTCACAAGACTTTAAATCACAGAAAGGATAATTCTTGCCACTAAGGAAATTATCATGTTAATACTACAGCTTTTGTTGTGCATGGTGATCGCTGTCGCCATTTCCTGGTCTTAAAAATCTATTAATCTAGGCTCTCTTACTCCATAGACTTAACTTCAGCTGCATCCAGAGAAGCCAAGAGAAGTCCTGAAAGAGCCAAGTCACCAGTTAGGTCAGAAGAGGCTTTGAAATCCCTCTTCAGCACTACAGCCATCAGGTTATGGCCCTACAGCACCAAAGTCTAGCCCTTTCTAAAAGCAGCTCTGGCAGTACTCCAGAAGCAAAGGGAAAGGATCTCGGTTAG